GTAGCATTTTGATGTCTTCTAAAATGTTTCTTCAATTTAAAAATACTTTATTGCACTAGTGAATTTTTTTGCTAAGGTTATACACTAAGAAAAAAAATAACTTTTTTATACTTGAAGATGCTTATTTCAAATAACAGATTAAAGTGGTAATTTTTATACGATAGATGAGGAGATGAAAGTATAGAATTGATAGTTCTATAGTAAAATTTTGGACGTCTGAGAGGGCTTTAGTCAAATGGTCTATTAATAAAGTGCAAAACAAAATAGTTGACAGATGCAAAAGTCATAATGAAGGATACCATGACAGTTCTGGAGGTATCCAGGCGTAGTTATGACCAATATGATCGTCCTTAATTCAAGTGATGACTAACATTCGGAGTTATATATAAATTCAAGATTTAACTTAACTTCTTATCGAAGGGAATTAACTCGAAACTTGAATAATTTTGTCCTTGTTTGTAACTTGATAATAATTTAATTTATTTTTACAAAAGCATTGTGATATTTTTTAAATTTAAAATGGAATGGTTAAACCTATTCGGTACCAATTTATTATTTACACGTACTTTATACGGATAAGAATTTTTTCAGTATTTTTGATTTATTTAATAAAAAAACACATCAAGCACGGATTTCTTATGTGCTGAGCCATTCAAACTATCCTGTAGCTGAATTCCGGGCATACATTTAATCGAAAAGAAAAACATTTATGCATATTAGGTATATGTAGAAATTTTCATCTCTTCGTTGAAATTTATACCCGGAATTCAGCTGCTTAAGTGCTAATTGTTGACAATATAGCTAAATCACCAAGGCACAGGTTTTCCCTATAGAGAATGTTCAAACAGGTCCATAAAATCTAGATTTACCATTCAAGATTCCATCAGATTCAATATTCAAATTCAGAATATTTGAATTTTTAAACAGTTGTAGATCCTCAGAACTTGATTAACCTGAAGTCTTGGAAAAATATTTTGAGAACTTTACTAATATTTTCGGTGCCTATATGGAGATCTTTTAAATATTCCAAGTTGTCTAAGATGTGTTAAAGAATATCCTGTAACTCATGCAACGTTTCCCGAACGTCTACAAAACTCCCTCAAGTTTTACAAAATGTCTTCAATTTTTACGATGTTCCCTGAATTTATTCCAAATTCCATATTTTTTCCATTTCTCTTATTTCTACGAAGATCTCTAAATATCTTTGCACTTCTGGAAAGACACCTAAGACATCTACAAATATTCTTGAACATCTAGAAAGTTTCTTGAAATTTAACGAAGTTCCCTAAACCTCCAAGAAGTTCATGGAGCTTTTTTTGAAGTAAGATCTCTGACAAATTGCAACGAAGTTCCCTAAACTGAAGCGAGGATCCCTGAACTTTTTAAAAGTTTTTGATGAACTATTTTTAGATCTTCTACAACATTCCCGGAACTTTTTCAAAATTCCTTACACTTGTATGAAGTTTTACGCAGCTTCTCAAAATACTACGAAATTCGCAAAACTTCCTCAAAATTTGCTGCACTTCTACGTTTCTTGATTTATGGTGAAGGTCCACGAACGAAATGTCTTGAATTTGAACGTTATTTCCACAACTATTGCAAGTCCATGAGGTTTAAAAAATTGTAATTATATCAATTATGAGCTTCCCTGTAATAGAATAATGTTCCCTTAACTTCTAATAAGCTCCTCAAACTTAAATAAATTTTCCACTTCTGTGCAGTTTTCAGGTATTGATCTTCTTTCTTTCCACAGCATGTCAGCCACCATAAATCTATGGGTGGACTCAAAATGACAGAGCACAATCCCTTTTAGACCTCCACTCACCTTGCTAAGTAGTATAGCAAGATGCGAAGAAGTTTTTGTTCTACACATATCATTCATCATTAGTCTCTTGCTGGAGAATAACTAGCCAGTCGGCTAAAAATCTGCAGTTTAAAAAAAAAAATTGTTTCTCGAAATGCTCATACTACATACTGCTAGGCTTCATATATGTAGCAAACGACAACCATGGACCGACGACCTGACTTTAAAGACTTCATATATGTAGCAACGAGCCATGGCAACGCACTAACTGTTGGTTTCAGTTAATGATGCAAACCTATGCAAACTATCCAGGAACTCTCGAAATTTCGCGGAGACTGAAAGCACGTTCATCTAAACGCAACCACAACGACAAGAGTAAATAACAGTCCCACTGAATAGTTTTCGTATAAAAATAGGCTTAACTGATTTCATTGAAGGTAATTTATGTAGCTTTCACTAAAACAAATTGATTCTGTTGAAATGTGACTGCACAGACTAATTTTAACTTATACCTATTTCTTCAAATGAGCAGAATTGATTCGAAACATTATTCGCGATTTTCTCATAGTCAACTTTTAGAACATGAGACACCTTTAGACATTCTTGGATGAACCATTTCTAAAAAAGATGTACTTCGAGCACTTATAGGGTAAGGTGGTTCAAGATTGGTCATGGGGCAAGACGGGTTATCTATTATTTGTCTCTGTAGTTTATTAACAGTCCCTTACCTACCACCCAGTCCCTTATGTGGTGTTAACATCTGTACTAAAGGGTGTCCACGATGAAATTGCCACACACAAAATTGATTCGCAAAATTCGAGTTTTCATCCGATTGCCATCAAATTTTCAGGGATTGAGAAATAACTATTAAACTTCATTTTACCATTTTACTCGTATTTTATTTACAGTCCATACGCAAATGCCCGCACCTTGGCCTTAACCCCGGCCATAAGATTCTGCACAACCTGTGAATCAACCGTTTTTTGCATGTAAACCCATACTTTCTTCAGTTCCTCGACTGTCTTCACTACCTTAGGTCGTTTAAGAAGGTGCTGCTTCATAATCGCCCAGTACTTCTCGATGGGGCGGAGCTCCAGAGTGTTGGGAAGGTTGAACATTTTCGGCACGAAATTGACCTTATTGTCCGCATACCACTTCAGCACGTCCTTGGAGTAGTGGCATGAGGCCAAATCCGGCCAGAAGATTGTTGGGACGTTGTGGGCCTTCAGGAGAGGAAGCAGCCGCTTCTGGAGGCACTCTTTTATGTACACCTGTCCGTTCATCGTGTCCTGGGTCACGAAAGGTGCACTCCGCTTCCCGCACGTGCAGATGGCTTGCCAAACCAGGAATTTCTTCGCAAATTTGGACATCTTCTGAGTGCGGACATGCTCCGGAACGCTGAACTTATCCTTGGCCGTGAAAAACAGGTTGCCGGGGATCTGTTTGAAGTCGGCCTTCACATATGTTTCGTCGTCCATGATGCAGCATTCAACTTTCGTCAGCATGTTGAGGTACAACTTCCTGGCACGGGTTTTGGCGGACTTGTTCTGCTTCTCGTCGCGATTAGGGGCCTTTTGTACCTTGAACGTTCGAAGCCCAGCCTTAGTTTTGGCCTTCTGGACAAAACTTCGGCTTAGGTGCAACTTCTTAGCCACATCCCTAACGGAGGCGTTCGGATTTCGGTTGAAGGCCCCAACTACGCGGTTGTGATTTTTGGTGTTGTACGGAATACTTTTTCCTTCACTTCTGGGCTTCCGATTGGTGGTCAACCGTTCCTCGAATCGCTTAATCACTCGCGACACCGTGGAATTCGCGATTCCCAACGTTTTAGCGATGGAACGATGCGAGAGATCCTTGTTCTCGTGATGAATGCGCAAGATTTTATCACGCACGAGCTGTTCTTTCGACTCCATTTCCGCGAGTTTTGATCACAGGACTTTAAAACTTGCAGGATGTAAATAATGCACTATGAACTAAATCCACCCAAATTTTTATTAAATTCTACCCAACGGTTAAAAAGTTAGAGCAATTTCATAGTGTGGCAATTTCATCGTGGACACCCTTTAGTATGCTGGTGCTAGTGTGCTAGAACTGTACTAAAAATAATTTAGCATAATGTAGGGCGTCAGCAACTGAAAATCGTGCTAGTTGCTTGAGCTGGTTGAGCTAGTTAGCAGTGCTGAACCAGTATAATGTAACCACATTATGTACGGTACCGACGGTGATGTGGACAATTAGTTAAGTGCATCAAAAAAAAAAAAAATAGTTTCCACCATATACATATTTGAATGCATGATCGACTAAAGCTTAAATAACAATTTGTTTATTTGATTGCATTCGCAAAAAAAATCCGATCCCATATTCGTTAACGAGAACGGATTAATGGGAACGGATTGTTTTCCGAGCAGTTTAGAAAGTTTGTAAGTTAAGAGTATGTGATCAAAAATACAATGGAGCCATACAATCATAAATAGGGTTAACTATCCCATTTCCGGCCTATTAAGCATAACCCGCACTTAGTCTTTCTTAACCTAGTTGAGTTTAGCACCAAAAGGAATGTTATTATTACTGATGGCTTCCAAATTTATTTACCTTTCCGTACGTACCATAAGATTTGAAAATCGTTGAGATATTGTCAAAAGTCCAACACTGCTTCTTGACGCCAAACTCGGCCTAAGGATTTTGAACTCGGCCTAACGCATTGAAACGCAATTGAAACGCCAATGAATTTACTTCGGCCTATCGGATGAAGATAAAAATTGATTCGGTCGGAGCGCTTTTTTTGTTTTTGGGAATAATGGGTGCAAACCTTCATACCACGCGTTCTCATTGACTTCGTTCGGTAGCCTTTTAACTAAAGTATCTTACCAAACGCATAATTGACTTGTTAACTCTGAAATCATGGATTTTTTTGAAGTTTTCTGCTCGCTAGGCCCAAAATGGGTGATTAGGCCGAAGTAGTTCTCTACCCTACATAGATTAACAGGTCGAAGCAGTGAGCCGGATATTATCAGAAAATATTTCACATGTTCAAAACCAATTCGATGCCATTATTTGCCTTTTCGATCATATTGAGCTAAAGCCATGAACTTCAAACTTATTAACACCTGTTTGCCATATTTTCTGCTCATTCCATCAAAATAGCAAACCATTTGGATACTTGTGATAACCTTCCGTTTGTTTTTTACCATTTCAGGCGAAACCTGAAGCTGCTACAGTGGCCCCCATTACATCGCCGCTACCAGGTGGTTTCCCAACACAACCGCAAAACGGATATCCGGATCCGAATAGTAATTATATGCCGGGTCAGTACTTACCAACCGGAACACCTGGCTTGCCACCCCAGCAGCCGGCCATATTTAATCCTGCTATGGCTGGTAGTCAACCTCAGCAGCAAACCGGAGTTGTCAACTATCAGAACTTCCAACAAAACTTGCCATACCAGCAGCAACAGCAGCAGCAGCAGCAGCAGCAGCCGCTACAGCAGCAACAACAACAACAACAACAGCCAGGAGCCAATTTCAATGCCAACTATCGGCAACAACCCACCCCTCAGCCGGCTGCACCGGTTGTACCCGAGCCACCAAAGCAGAAGCCACCACTACCCGAAGAGTATATCTACTTACAGACAGTATTCGAAGAGTTGAAAAAGAACTGCATTGATGCGGCTGGTAACCCGGTAAGTTACCCAGTTCATTATTATAATAATAGTCAAGTAATGTACCGTGTAATGCCAGTTCACCGCTCACTTTTAGATCAAATCTGCGATTTACAACGTTAGTACAATTGTTTTTCACAGGTAGCCCTTCCACCCATCTTGCCCCGTGATATTTGCTAGACTTTTTGAAATGTTTGCCTTTTCTGGCCGTGTATTACCGTTGTAAGTATAGTCGCTATATTCATAGTCTGGCGGATAGAATTTCGATCTATCAAAAAGCGGAACCAATTCACTATATTTTAGACCAACAATTGAAAAGGTACTAAAACTTTTTTAAACAAAACATTAATTATTCTTTCCTCGCCAATCGAACGCAAATTATCGGCATCATCGGATAGGGCAAACTTTCCTCAACCTAGGTTTGCGTAGGCGCGCCTTGAGTCACGCGAAAAGGGTATCCGAAGTTTTGTTCGCAATAGCTGATGTGCTCTTTTCTGTTGTTGGTCGTGATTTGCTCGATTGGTTCCGCTATTTGACAGCTTAATTGGTTCCCGAGATTCTATCCGCCAGACTATGAATATAGCGACTATAGTTGTAAGTTGTTAATAGCGGCGCCGGTGGTGTACTGGTCTGGGTTCAATCCCGGTCGGCGCCGCCGGGATTTTCTGAGGCATTAAACCTGTGATCACGCCTTCCTTCGAAAGGGAAGTAAAGCCGTTGGTCCCCGGCACATGTGTTGATGGGTCAATAGGTGCAGTAGGGTCCAGGTGTGGGAGCTGCCTTCCTGGCGTCGGTAGCATTGGTACTCAGTAGTGAAAACAAGACCGACGGAAAACAAATCAAGGAAAATAAAAATAATTAAGTTGTTTAATGGGGGAGTTTACACTTGTGCTGGTGTGCTAGTGCTAGTGTACTAGAACTGTACTAAAAAGTAGCCAGCATAATGTAAACAGGGCGTCAGTATCTACCAGCATTCAGGAGCAACTGAAATTCTTGCGAGTTGGTTGAGCTGGTGAGCTAGCATAAGTGTAAACACCCCATAAGCTGTGAAATACTGATTCCATTCTCACCTTGCAAATGAAATATTAGTCTTAATGTCTATTTTAAGTTCAAGATCTTCATTCACCGTTCGCATGTGATGTAAACAAAAGTTTTTTTTTCGACTAAACGTATTATACTGCCCATAAAACATCTTTGTTTTGGAAAATTTGGGAAAAATAGCAGAACGGATTGTCCCATTACATAAGAAGCAATGGTGCGAAGCAAATTTAAAATGCGTTTTTCTCAGCTTGCTGGCTTGTGGACCGCCATGCGAAAAGCGGCAGTATAATTATGGCGCAGAACTATAATGTTTTTTTGGCCATAATTCTCTTAATAGGAGGGGCTTAAAATTTGCATCAATTGGCATAAACATAGGTACGGTCTGGCATGCTCAGTGCTTGGTATCAATATTCGGTGACTGTGTTAGGGAAACCACTTTTCCCATCACGGAAACGCCTCGTTTTCTGATGTCAAAATTACGCATTTTCGTGCACAACACGCACAGAACTTTTGGTTTATTCAATAGATAATGAAAAACCGAAAATTTATTGGAGGAATTACTTGCTAAATTTTTTCCAATCGCGAGATATTCGCGATCAATCATATTCGAGATTTTTTTTTTGCTTTTTCTAGCGTACTGGAGAAAACCTAACGAAGTGTGTCTGGTTATTTGATATGGTCATGTGGTATTCGGTCATTGCGAGAATTTGTATGTACCACTTCAATAACGTTAGGCATTTGACCACAAACGTTTGATTGCTGGGTACATTATCAAAGAGCTTTGGGGTGATGTGGCTGGCAGCAAGGCGAGCGAACATTCAATGAAAATTAACTCTTAAACAGCAATAATATATGATAGTCCTGAAAAGAACCGTTTGGTCGTGATGGTTGAGTAATGTTGAGTTATTAGGTTGTTCAACACAGATGAGGCTGGCGAGTTGTATGTTGTTTGGAACGAGGGTGACGCGCTTGGCATAGATGGCCCACACCAACTCACAAAGAGCTACTGAATCCGATCAATAGTGGTGCAGCTTCTTCCTCCTTCTTCGGTGAATGGACACTCATGTGGGCTGCAGCTCGCTGCTTGCGGGCAGCCTTTCGTTGTGTACTGGAGAACAATGTTCAACGTGACGCGCCGAAAGCACTGCTGCTGCTGATGAGGACCGAATGGACACCACCACACACGGTGATTGAATAAGCACCGTTCAGTGTGACTACATGGAATTCTATTTTGAAATCTTTGTTAGGGAAAGCGCTTTTTGCAGGCAATCGATGATAATTTTGATCACGATATAACAGTTGGACATTAGAGTAATTTTCAATAGCGACCAAGCTGAAAATTAATAAGGTGTTAATTTTAGCAGATTTGTAGAAAAAATTCCAATCGATTGGCTTGTTTACAATTAAAATCCATCCGCTATTGGCAGAGGCAGAGGTTTTGACCCCTCCCCTTGGCTAGTTTTTGCACCTTGCTGTTGGTGGGCGGGCTTAATTTCATGCTTTATAGTGGAGTGTTGGAGACGGTAGGTTTATGGTCGGTGTTGCTGGCTCATGCCGCGATAGAATGGCGACATGGGCAGGCGATGGGGATTACTAAGCTTCCCCTCTCTGATAAACCGCTGCATGAGAGAACCAAAGATCTAGTCTAGCAGTGATAGTATCACACTTGTTACTCCTTTTATTGAGAGCCGTACGTATAGGCACTGACGTTGGGTGTGATACTGGCGGGTTTTGCCGCAAATCACTCTTATTTTATTTATTTTTTACGCAGATAGATTTATTTGGGTTTGCAAGGGAATTATACTACTGAAATATTTCAGAAAGTGCCCAACAGTGCTCCTTCTATTTGCGTGACAAGCTTTCATTGTTGTTTTCATTGAGGTATTACTCAGAAAACAATGTTAAACATCATTTTTGTACATGGTATTGTAACTAATCTTATATGTGCTTCATTTTGATTTGGGATAAGTGTTTGAACTATGGCTCGGGATTTCCACTGTGGTGTGCTTCTATTGTGACATGCCCATATGTATTTTTGTGGTGCCACATAGTGGAAATGTGAGAGCGTAGTTGGAACATTTACCCTATACAATATACAATTTAAAATTAGCTTGGAAACTAACTTCAAAGTGAAGCATTTTAGTCACTTGAAGGTGTCATCTGGGACGAACAAAGATATAAGATAAGATATGTAAAAGCCAGAAGTACTTGAAACACGTTAAATTGTAGTTTAAAAGCATGGGTTATGTAGGTAGATTAGAGATTTCAGTTATTTATTAAATAAACTTCAATTATAGAATTCAGAAAGCTAATTAACATAAATAAATCTTCCTATTTAGTGTATTTGTTAATTACAGACAAAGTCAAAAGCGAAAGTCATATCTTCAACCAGGCGCTTACGAACAAGTTAAATTTTAGGAAAGATGTGTTAAATATGTTGATAGGTTTGAAATAAGAATTAGGATTATTGTGCTTTAGTTTTCGGTAAGGTATGATGTGTCAACAAAGCCCTTTTGAGCAAATTTTCAAACATCAAATTGATTGAGTGATTTATTGAAAGACATTGCGTTGCGAAAATTGCCAAGTCATACATCTAACATAGTAGGAGTAGCAGTGTCGCATAATCTTATCACAATTGCTGCAAATAGTGCTTGAGGGGCCAGCAGGGCTGAATACGGATCAAAACTAACATAACTACTAACACTAAAATGATCCCGGAACTAACACTTATCCATTGCACTTTTAGTTATTTATTAGTTTTATTTTTCTACTAAGTCATCTATGCTTCTTTCTATTGTTTGGATCAAGTACAACTAATACTAATCTACCTTTATGTATGTTTTACTCCCTTTTAACCCATTATCTTTATGAATGGCGAATCATATGACGTGAGACACGTACAAGCTGGAACTCAAAGAATTACTTCGAACAGGATGTCAAACAAATTCAGGACCAATCCAAATGAGACCAGAAACCAACAAAGCATTGGGGAGTTATATATTCTGGGAGAGTTATTTGATAAATAATCAAAAAGTGGTAAGTTAAAATCAGAGCCAAGGATCATGAGAGGTAATTGTCAATAATTCATTAATTAGTAGAAATCTCGATAACTTTTTCAAGGATGCGTACCGGCTTTTGTAGGCGGTGCGTTTGGTCGTCGATTTGGCGTAACTGGTGGCTCGCCCGCGCGTGCTGGCACTATCATCAGATAGGGGAAATTTTCCTCTACCTGCTGGTGGTGTTGATAAGCGTGTGCGAGCTGCCGGTTGCGCCGGATCGACGATCGGATGCATTGTTTGCAGGAGCTGGTGCTTCCCTTTGAAAAAGTAATCGAGAAATAACCATATTATCCCGTAATTAATATTACTATTTTTATATATCAATGAAATTAGTCATGACAGAGTAACAGATGGGGAAGGACAATAGACACAAGTTGACACAATAAACAAGACAAGTGGGGGTTAATACACAAGACAAAATGACAAAATAAGTGACGACAGAAGACAAGACTGGGACGAAAATCAACCTTTTAAAAAAACAAGAATGCGCAATTATATTATCAAAACTATTTTGATCAGCACAAAAACAACAGTGACCAAACGGGCACCATAGCCTAGGAACGTCTGTGTGCTGATTTAAAATAGAGGCTCATAGAAGCAAAATTTACCAATAAAAGGGGTCCAGTGTAGAGTTTTAGCAAGTTGCTGCCACTGGATCACTACAAAAAAAAAAAAAAAAAAAAATTCCATCCGCTATTGGCAGAGGCAGAGGTTTTGACCACTTATACGTAACGCGGTAGATTTTGGTTTTTTTGAAATTGCACCCCCAATATGTTGCCAAAAGACGTAATCCTTCGCAAAAAAAGGATGAAGCTCGGACGGGGCAACAACTACATGATACATGAGTGTCTATTGTCGATTTTTGTATATTTTTTTAAATTTGCTGAAAAGTTTACAAAATTAGTTTACTAGTTTATTCCCGCTGATGCCTGCTAATCATATTTAATCATCTACACTATACTATCATTGATTTTTGTGGGAAAAAAATAATGTTGTTTACAGCTATTATGACTGGTGAATGGAGAACCAAACACGATCAAGGGTCCCATTCACCGCTCACTCCAAAATTAAACATTACAAATAGACATTACAACGAATATTCCATAAGGAAGGCGTGTGTATAGTAACATTCTTATGCCTCAATAGCTTACAAACTATATAGGAATGCGTTAAGTGGCCAGAAAAGGTAACACTTTCAAAAGGTTAATGTTTCCACTATGAGCGTTGAATAAGACCCGTGGTTACATGTTCTAGTATGTGTCGAAATTAATTGCCCATAAAGCATAACATTTACATCTCTGCTTGATTTCCTATTTAAATGGAACTATTATACGTTTAAGGGTAAAGCTAGTACAAAAATATGCTCAGTACAATTATGAAACAATATTTTGCTATCGATATGAACATAATGTTGCTCTAAAGTGAGCGCTGAACGGAAACCACACAGTAGTCCATTGTAATTGTTATATAACAAATGTTTCTTAATCGAATATTTCTTTCCTTTAATAGCAAACTAAGAGGAAACTAGAGGATGTCTCGAAAAGATTAGAGTCTTTATACGATTTGCTCCGTGACCATCGGGTAAGTTTCTCGGCTTTTATGTTAAACTGAATTATAATGTGTTTTTGTTCCATCAGTTATCGCAAAATACCCTCACGTCACTCGGTCAGTTGGTGCAGCTGATTCAAGCTGGTGATTACGCCAACGGCATTGGACTGCACACACAAATGGTATCTGGGCCCGATTTCGCTCAGATTGCTAGCTTCATGCCGGGTATCAAAGTTTTGCTGCAGTCCGCAATGCAACTGCAGGTGTATCTTCGGTAAGCAAAGGGTACGGATCAACAAAAGACAGTGTAGTAGCTGTAAGGCGAACAGAGTTAATTAGATAACGAAAATACAAAATTCACTGTTGACGAATTCTACTTGTGACAGTTGCGAATGAAGCAAAGACGATATGGTTGCATTTAAGTTAGATTACTTCCAGATTTTTGCGTTGTTTCTTGTTTGACCAGACACGATCCGTTATTTGTCCATTTTGTACTGTGTATGATCGCGTGAGTATGTGGACCATAAATTAATGTTAGTAAAAATGTATTTCCTGAAGTTCTTATTATCCTGAATATATGTACGCATTACTCTCAGTTAAACTCTATTTACAGTGCATTATTTTAACGCTAATATACTCGAGAATAAATTTCAAAATATTACAAAATGACGTTAGTTGCGTGTTGTTACATGTGTTTGTCTTTCCCTTTTTACAGGAAATAAAATCTGATAAGGATAATATCATTGCTCATGCCGCTGGCTGAATTTTTATCGCAAATGGTAAGTATTTTTTTTCAATACATTGTCTGTTCTGATATTCCGATATTCTCAACGTTCCCCATTCTATGTCCTGTCGATTTCCTATCTTCATGGGACTGTTATGAGAATAGCGACAGTATACTGCCAAGAAAGGAATATCAGTCACATCTGAAAAAAAAAACAACAAGCCTAGAAAAACAGTGTTGAGAATTTATTTATCCTTAGGCTCTTATGGGTGTGACAACCTAGTTTTGTTTTTTTCACGATATTATCCGAACAAAACATGCAACATGTAACCAGGGCTGATAGCAGGTCACTTCTTAGTGGGTAGGTTACTATTTTCAAGCCATTCACAAAAAAAGGTCATTTTTCATCAAAAAGTAATTAAAGTCACTATTTTCTAAAATGTGTGTGTGTGTGTGTGTGTGTGTGTCATCTTCAATCCCTCACCCAGCCGGGGGCGTTGGACAAGTAGAACTGCGAATAATTTGATCAAATCTCATGCTCCGTAATGGTGCCTTTTATGTTGTGAAAACTAGTACTTCAAAAAGGGTAACTTTTGAGGCAAGACAGGGTGTCCTCATCAAGTTAAGGGAACAGGATGCACTAGATGTCCACAACAGGTACAGCAAAACATCACATAGACGCCCTTATTCACATTAACTACTCAGGGGGTAGAAGGTAAAGAAGAGCCACCGCCGCCAACTAAAGCTTGAACCGGGTACCTGGGATTCCCACGATATACCCGCGGCAATGATCAGCAGACGATGCCCTGTGCGTATTTAGTATGTAATATGTTTTATTTGGATACACAAAATGTTTGAAGTCATGCGTCATCTAAACCATAATTTGTATCACCACAAATACACTTGTCAACAATCTTCAACTGGAACGTACTCACCAAATCACTTCACGCGGGAGCGCATTCCCGATGCTTCCACGCATATTTTTCTCTAGTCATCCCTAAACAATTCTTCATCCAGCGACTCCAACCACACAACAACCAAATATCACTTTTCTTCGCTTTTCTTTTTCAAGTCACTCCGTGCACAAAAGCAATGCACATCGCAAAACCCTAACAATAGATCAACGCCATTCTCATCACCGCGTAAATAAACTGAAATTAAAATTTTCACTCGCGATGCCACAAATTTCTGGTCCGCACGAATAAATAATTTTTTCAGTCACTATTTTCTAAAATGTAGTTACTAAAGTCAACGTTGTGGGTGAAGAATTTCACTTTTAAAACTCACATCAGATCACAGCTTGATTTGGTAACAAATTTGTGTTAGAAAGATTGATTAAAAATCAGTTTCCCTTTCTTGTGATCTCGAAATTGTCATAGACCTCACAAATTTTCTGAAGTTTCGAAAAAAACTCTTGACCCTATACAGTGCCTTCCCGTTTATGGCAACACAACCTCATCAAATAATTCTTTCTTCAAATTCGTGCCAGCGCTTTCTGGGTAATTTTCCATGGAATTCCAAGTAGGTATGATCCTTAAAGAGGGGTCTAGTGATATCAGAAATTGGGTTAAGGTGAATCGCTGTGACATCCTTATTCTCGGAATCACTTCGAAACTTTAAGTGCACAAATATCAGATTTTCGGGATTGTAATTGAAAATTCGAAGTGGAAGTTCATGTATAGCCAACGTGGCGGCCATTTGTGAACTCTACAAGGAATCACCTTAAGAGTTGGATTGATTATCTAGAAAGTGAAGAAGACAAAAATTATGTGTTGCCAAAAACGGGAAGGCACTGTATTCTGGATATTTTACTTCGTGATCTTGATAGTTTGCCAAGCCAAAAAGATGTCAAAAAATGGTCAACGAAAATTTTCAAGGTCTCGAATATTTTTCATAGTTCAGAAATTTAAAAAAAATAGAAGGGTCTGTGCCTAGGGGCACGAACGGAAGCTTGTCATTGGACCGCTAGTGGACGGAACAAATATGTTGATCAGAGGCGTCGCGTGCCTCATTTGTTTACCTGTGCACCAAACTTTGTTCGTTATAGTTTAACACCACATATTAGTTTTTTCTCTCTTTTCAATGCTCCATCAAGGTACATATTCTCAATTAATATATTAATCACTATCTAACGTAACATTTGAAGGGCCTATCATCATGTGTAAACAAAACTTATATGGACCTTTTCGCGCTAATCGAAGTAGGAGGAATTGCAAAACTTAACTAATTTTAGTTTTTATCACAAGGCTAACTCTTTCGACTGAAGTGTATTAAAGAATATCCGTCAAACAATTTCGAAAAATCTAGAACTTGAATAAACGAACTCTTTATTCATCAGAACAACACTATCAGAATGAACCAGGGGAAGCTCATAAGTTTTTACAGGCGCACCGGCGCAACCATCGGTAATTGAGAGATTTACAACTGAAGAGAGTGAGACCGAGCTTTTGTGCTCTCTTTCTCCATTACTTTCTTTGCCTGCAATCCAGGTGCACAGCGAGAAATGCACGCTTTGGGCACCCATACATCACAAATGTTCTTCTAATTTAAACTCACACATTCAAACTGTTCTGCAAGTATCATACACGTAAAAAGCGTACCAGACTGCTGTTTCCGTGTTGCTCCCGTTTGACGCGTGACTGCTGAAAGTTTCAATTACAACTAGTGGTGCAAACCGCCATGTATTGTGGAACATTTTTGCTATGTTTCAAGATGTGATAGAAGGTCTGCTTGGCTTACATCAGGCATTTGACCATTCACTCGCTCAGGCATTTGACCATTCACTCAGCTCGCTTTTAGGTGCACTATTCAACAAGTTTTGTCATGGTAGTGATATCGACATGCTTAGAAATCATTGCATTAGGGATAAGGCAGACCATCCGAACTGAATTTAATCCTTTTTGAAACAAACCCTTCGACCTTGCCACACTTTAAAATAGTGTATTCATCCTATGTGATGAACTAGCCTACGGCTAAAAATCACAAAAATAAAGAAAAAAAAAAAAAAAAATAGTGTATTCATGGTCACTTGTGGTCTGGTAAAGAAGTTGTAATGTGAAATCTATAAAAATCTAAACATATTTTTTTTTTAATCATTTACACCTGTGTCGTGCACAGGTTGCACATGTGGATGCGACGCCACTGATGTTGATCATTCTTAATCATTCCGTTTTTGAATTGGTGGCCCTGAAAAGGGCCGATTGTTTTTCAAACGGTGCAAGTCGATGCCGACCGGATGACGGCAGCCTAGCCATGCTTCCTATTGTGGGAAGCCTTTCCTCCGGTCGATGTGGGTGCTTTCGTCGTCGTCGTCGTCGTCTTCGCATTGGTGCGATGCGTGCTGTTCAATTCATACGTCGTGTCCGACGCTATTGGTTCGTTGATCGAAAGCAAATGACGAAGAAAATGATTTTATTATCGCTGCTTTTCTCCTCCCTTTCTTTTATTGGTGAAATGGTGATCGGTCAACCGAGAATTGAGCTCGCTCATGTGAGCATACGCAATGTTCGTTTGTTCGATTTGCGCTCTATCGTTGCGTCCGTGTTTGGGATTTTTCGTTACATGTCTGAATTTAGATTTTTTTAATGTGACCCCCATTATAGAAATTAAAGACGTAGTCCTACGTCAAAAAGAAACCTGGTACTTTAGTATTTGTTAAAAAATCGAGAAAAATAAATCATGTTACAGAATCTTGAGTTCCTTTTTAAGTTCATTAGATTGTATTATTTTTTTCAGACTTATGTCTACCTATGTCCAAGATCATGAAAAGTTTTCTATGTTTCAGGAGCATTCAATTTTTTCAAGGAATTGGTGGAATTTGTGAAAACTCAATGATCCAGAAATATAAAAATGGTCCAAAAACCAGGGTCCACTCATTTCGCTATAAAACATGTTTTCCGGAATTATGGAATCATTGTACGCTATTATGATAGTTTGTAATTTTCAGAAACAATAAGAGGTTGAAAAGTGTGTATTTTACATTTGACTCATAAAACCTGTCAATTTCGCTTTCAGTGCGTCAGTTTTTAGGCGTGCGTGACAGATAAGGGGTGCATCGATTAGCTTGGGTCCGAAGAGAGTACCAAAGCTGAGCCAAAAAGCACGTTTCTTCGGGATCTGTTATCTCTATGGTAGCATCAAGTCTACGGTAGCATAGCATAGTAGAGCGCCTGTCTAGCGTATTGGAAGGTGAGGGTTCGATTACCACCTGTAGACAGTGAATTTTTCATCATTCTCGCGACATCTCTCCACCCAAACACATGGTCTTGACTTCTGGTATAGTTTTCAAAAAAGTAGAAAATAGCCGATTTTTGAAGAAAAGCACAGCTAATTTTTTCACTGTTTCTTTTATTTTGTTTCTTTTCAGCAAAAACTTCCACAATTGAATCTTCTTCTTCTTCTTCTTCTTCTTCTTCGCATTTCAAGCTTATTGCATATCGCATATTAGCTTATTGCGTGCTCTCAACTTAGTGTTCTAGATGCACTTCCACAGTTATTAATTGAGAGCTTTCGATGCCTATACCATTTTTGCATTGATATAATTGTGTGGCAAGTCCAATCATACTTCTATGCCCAGGGAAGTCGAGAAATTTTCCAACCCGAAAAATTCCTAGACCGGACCGGGAATTGAACCCTGCCACCTCCAGCATGGTCTTACTTTGTAGCTGCGCCTTTACCGACTGAGCTAAGGGAGGCCCCTGAATCTTAGCTGAGGTAGATAGCAAGGTTGCAAATACTCATTTCAGCTAAAATAATGTTTTTCGGAATAATAAAACCAAAAAATGGTATGATGGCATGTTTTACTTGTAACTTACAAGAAGAGGTTACAAAGTATGCGTTTGAAACATAAAACCAGTAAATTTTTCTTTCTATGAGTCACAATCAGCGATTTTCTGACTTTCTGACATTCTTTGCAACCTCTTCTTGTATCCTACCAATTCAAAATATGATCATGGCATCTAATTATTTCATAATTAAAAACAAAACATTGTTTTAGCTGAAATGAATATTTGCAACCTTGGTAGATAGTGTTGGTTATGGAAAAATAATAATGCTATACTGCCGGTAATCGCAAGTCAGTCCCATCTGCATTTTTATCAATTTTAAGTTAGCATCATTATTCAGTTTATCTTTCTATGTTTTTTGAAATGTGCTATTGAAAAAAGGATGTTTGTTCAAGAAAAATGAAAAACAATACCAAGTCCAATTGTCCCACAGCGAAAAGTAACCATTAGAAAAACATATCATTTGCCTTCAGAGCCGCGTCGCGCATCGAAAAGTTCGGATTACGCTTGAAATAATCCAACACCCTCCGGGCCTTCACAGGGTCAGCTGTCTTCGATTTTCTTCCACTTCCAGCCCGCCGCTTAGTCGTCTGGGACTCCTTAAACGATTTTACCACTCGAGACACAGTTGTATGGGTGATTCCCAGTTGTCTTCCGATCCATCTCATAGTCGTAGTCGGATTTTCCATGACGGCGCGCAAAATTCTCCGGCAATTTTCTTCTTGTTTCGATGACATCTCAATAACCACTGAACCGATTGTTATGAAATTTTGCACATGTAAACAATTCACTCCAAACTAGTTATACCCAGATTTTCATCAATTTTTACCCACGGATAAAAAAGTTACACACGGATAAAAATGCTGCATTTTTTTTCGAGTACAAGCCTTAATGTCCACAACCAGCAAAACATCACAAGAAAAGAAGAACCACCGCAGCTAACTGAAGCTTGAACCGGGTACCTGTGAACCCAACAATACCCGCGGCAACAGTCAGCAAACCATGCCCTGGCGTATTTAGTTTTTGAATATTGTTGCATTTATAAATGTATTTTATGTTATGTACTGGAATACAATTAATTTTTATTAAATAGATAGATCACACAAAATTTTGAGCTGGTTGACTCAATTTGTTCCAATCGTAGCGATATGAAACCTCTGATAACGCTTAAAAAACACTACCGACCGAATAAATCGCCAATAGAACGACGGTTGTTCATTTTATTTTCTTTCGTGTGCTGCTTCAATCTCAATAAGTAAAAAAAAAAAAACACAAGAACAACAATAACAAAACGTTATATCATCATCACCCGTGATGGGCAAACGATTTCTGGTGATTCCCGATATCACAATGGATACATACTGCATACACTATACTTAGCGTTTTTCTGGACACGTGGGATTCGCGAGGATCTATAAATGACACAATCTCTTCAATTGTCGAAATCTGTCAGCACTGTTTAATGGAGATGTTAATGCTCATACATAATGAGGCAATGTGAAAAAGTAACTGAAAAAACATGAGTGCTGACCGGCATGCTTGGCATGCACAGTTGTACACACCAACTGCTCATTTGGTAATAACTTTTCACTCAGATGTTGAAATTTATTTTTCTTTAAAGTAATTGATAGATTAGGCTCATAGTTTACTATAGATATGCGAAGATTAGGTAAAGCTTAACATTTGAATCAACACTAATCAATGTAACACTTAAATTCCGAGATGTGTAGTGAGCATTTCTCACCTCATTTTTACAACGCAAAAACAAATACATTTTACTACTACCATTAAAATCTACTTTTTTTTACATATCTGTAACAAGTTTACACTCTATTCTATCTACTGCTTCAAAAAGAACTATGTTCCGTCAACTGTGTGCAAAGTTATTAGCAAAAGAGCAGTTCGTGACCAAAACTGTGTATGCCAAGCATGCTGACCGGCACATTTTCACACATTAATGACACATAAATGCATTGTTTCACCCCAATGGGTCTGGGTTGAACCCCAACCGAGGTCGATGGGATTTTTCTGAGGCATAAAAATCTCTGGTCACGTCTTCCTTCGGAAGGGAAGTAAAGCCGTTGGTCCCGGCCCATGTGTGTGTTGAATGGGTGCGATATCCTACGCAGGTGTGGAAGCTGCCTTCCTGCACATTCGATTGCCGTCAATGGATGGAAATCGATGTCACATTGAACCAAGGTGAAATACACTTAAAGTAAATGTGATTGTGCATTTAAAAAACCAAGTGTTTAAACACTTCGGTCATACGTGTGGAATTTTTTGAGTGTACTTTATAGGCCAGTACTGCCAGTTTTCCGGTACACTTAGGCTGTGAACCATTTGCCGAGTTAAATTAAACTCGTGGTTAAAAGTGACATTTCGAAAGTTATTCTCTATGTTCGAAAATCCCTGTGCTGTCGATCGACCGGTTTTCGATAAGAACTCAGCCACGGTTGTCAAAATTTAACTTCTTGTCTGTCAGAAATAACCACTCTCGGATAGCGGGGTTAATCGATAACTTTCCATCTGTCAAATTTTAATCAAAAGTTATAAAAAATCCACCAAATGGTTCAGAGCCTTAGATCCCCCACAGTAACACTTAAATTAATTATAAGTAAAGAGGCTGAATTTATAAAGAGACGACATGGAACAATCGATTATCTGTCAAAGTCATAGGAAAAGTTCTTCCAATCGAGCAGAAGACCTGTCAAATGGATAAGATGTCGCCTCTTTACCCAATTCAGTCTCTTTAATTAAAAGTACTTCATTCGAAAAATATAAGCGTTTTAAAACTTCTCTCCTATATGCTCTAGCGTAGGCTTAGTAGGTTCTCACCAAGGTTAAGTGCCGATGGGTTGCTGGTGAGAGCTGAGCAATGACAATGACAATATTTGTTATGAATAATACCACGATTTATGTATTTCAAAAAATTTATTTACGTCTATATTCAATACAAAGAAAAAAACAGAGTCAAAATTAGCTATTCATTGCTTTGAGCATTAGTATCACTCATTATTGCAGCTGGAACGTTTTGGTAAAGAATGGATTACGTAAGCAGGCTTTTAAAAACAGTAAAACAATCAACATTAGTAGACATTTTCAAAGAGCACCATTGTATTCAATGTTAAAATTATACCTCCCAGCCTAAGAGAAAAGTCTGGTTTCATTGCCATTCCCCTTTTTGTGTCAATGTTTTGTTTGCTCTTAAGGTTATCTACATTTAAAGAGATTCGATTAACATGCATAGTGCTAATAAGTGAGCTTGCAATTTGCAACCTGGTATTTTTTATGATCATCATAAACATGGTTATAAACATAAAACTATTATGCGAATAATTGCGTTTATGTCCTAGTTAAAATTTCGATAGATAACTGGAACCAAGATATTTAAGTAAAACCGAAATTAAGTAAATCACAAAGAGTGTTGAAATGGTGATTGCCATCCAGCCGAGGAATGTAATTTCGGTCTGCGGTGGATGAACGTGATCTTGTAGCCCTAGCCAGCCTCCTTTTTCGAGTAGCCATGCGCTTAGGTCCTCTTCAATTACATCGGTTGTCCCTTCGATAAGTTGTTGTAGATAATCATAATGCTCCTGGCGTACGCAATCAACGGCTAAACCACCGGCGATCGCGAATAGTGAGATCACTTTTCCCCAGGTTATATCTGTTTTGAAGAGATCCTTTGCTACGATGTGCAGCAGGTAACAAACCGAGTCGGGTTCGGTCAGTTCACCCCATGGTTCCACTGAAATTTGCCGGCTCACATTATTGTACAGCCGAGGGTGCATTCGTTCCAGCTCTTCACCCATTCCATTCAAAATTGGAGTTGTTTCACGAACGACCACACAGTTAGGAACTTCCATCGTGCTGCGCAAACGCTGTAAAATTTTTCTGTTCAGCAGTCCAGATCGCCTCAGTCTAGCTCGAATGTATTCGCCACAGAGACATTTTCCCTGTTCGTACATGCAATAGCACAGTTGGAAAAAAGAAAGGTATTAGAAAATATGCACGACCTTGAAAATCGCTAAGTAGGTATGCCGCTATATGCCGGAAAAAAATCTATTCTTTCTACTTGGGCTGTTCCTCATGTATTTATGTATTATTTTACCCTGCATCTCTTCGTCTCGATCTTCTTAAAGGTTAGTTGTTTTTATTGATATACCTACATACTTAGCTGTAGCAGCTCAGTAATAATTCGTATTGTTAGGTATTCCACTGTAAATCTTATCTGATCGTTGAATGGCTCGAGCACATAGGTTGTACTATAAAACGGACTGTGCATGAAATTGATAAGTGTTCACTAGTATACAACTCGAGAATGCAAATCAAATTGGATCGGCATGATGAATGAACACCATCCTTACTAACCTGGTTGATCACATCCTGCGTGGTGGTTAGATGATGGATTGGGCTACGTCGATTGGTCCAAACATTTGTAAAATTATTGGCAAGCGTTGGTGATGACTTCTCCATGATAAGTTTATGAAAGGTCCATCGATTTGGAAGCTGCACGGGCGATGATACTAATTGATCGTGCTGAGCGGTAACATTTGCACTAATCTACACATCGGATATTGTTCGTATTGATTCGCGACTATCGGAAAACCGCTTAGTTCTGATCGATTGATTGAATGACAGTGGTTAGATAACTCAGTCGTGACCAGCTGCTGGCACTACTAAAAATCTCCAGATCGAAACGATGATCGCGATCTTACTCTGGACTGGGGATGAGCTTGTGTGAAATGTCAGATCCAAGCGGTGTAAATATACGTGTATAATAAATATATCGTGTATTTGTATGCGTTCATGAAGCTGCTGCAAGTTAGCCCACGTTGAGCTTTTCTGTGATCATTCATATATGACACGATCAGTGGGACTATGCAGCAGTGTTTCCAAGGTTTTTTATTCAAAAGCTTATGATTATGTGGTTAAACACACTTTGTACCATATAAAATGTTGTAAAAAATTGTGCACCCACATAATCAGGAACCATAACCTTGACCTTACCAAAAACCATTACCATTGCCACAAACCATTACCATTGAAAATTGTTGTTTTCTACGGTTCGCGATCTTTAATAGTATTGGTAATCTTTAAGCCGAAAAACCGAAAAACTTTCAGCAATTTTAACAGAAAAATGGAGAAACTACGGTCCAAACTGTAACACAGCAACGGTGGACAAGCTAGAGGGTAAGTGATTTACATTATTTTCATAGCTAAGCCATAGAAAAATAATCTTTATTATGGTTTTCACTGCCCGGTGTCTGGCTGTGATTTTTGTTTAATAAAATATTATTGAATCCCATCAATCTTTATTTTATCATTGACACAAATAAGAAATCTCTGATAATAATAAAAAATCATGCATCCTTATCATATTTAATTTCTTTGAATGATTACTTTTTACACATTTTGCAGTAAAAACCGTTCTTGAAAAATGTGTAAAAAATACGTTTTATGGGTTTACACATAAATGTGTAAACGCAGTTTACACATTTTATGAGTAGACCCCTTTTTTCACGAAATGTGTGAAATTTTACACATTAATGCTGGTTACCGTGTAGCCACACTTACGGTGTGTCTGACAGAACAATATTATTAAAAAAGCAGTATTGAGGGATCCCCCACCATACGAAATTTTACACGCAGAGAAATTACATGTAGTTGAATCAAAAACAAATCTTTTTTGAACTCAATAATTCGATATTTTTGTTTTAAAAATTGATCATGGTTGAATCAACAATATTTTATTTAAATTCTAAACAACATATTTGCTGATTATGGAGCGTTGTGAAGGGGAAGAGCTGACTCAAGTCCCATTTTTGGTGGAGGGGATCAAATTTTTCTACGGATTGAATCTGGAGAAAAGCTCAGGTAATTTAATTTAATGGATATTGTTTACTCATAACGTTGAGCATATTGTGCATCAGATTTTTTAATGTAATGTTGCTTTTTTCTCGTTTCTAGGGCCTTCCTATTCTAAAGGAATAACTTGTAACGTTGCAGCCAACTGCCGCTACCCCGCTAGTATTGCAGGAAGCTGCAGACCAAACTGCTCGCTGTATTTAAGGCATTATAATAAGATTAATGTACTAAATACTGAAATGACATAAAATACATGGAAAAGCATCATTGTTCTTTCAAAACTGAAGGAAAAAGCATCAGAAATAAAAAAAGGAATATTATTGAGCTAACTAATTAATATTTTTGATTCAAACATACAAATTATTGATTCAACAAACAAAAATTGTTTCGCTATTTCAAAGAAAATTATTTTTGATCAATAATTTAAAAATAAAAAAATATCTTTGAATTCAATAAAAAATTGTTGGTGTCAACAATATTTATTGTTTGCCGGGAGACAACGATTTTTTTTTTATTGAATTCAATACAGAATATTGTTGAAATTAAAAATATATTTCTCTGCGTGTAGAGGTGCTTATTTTTCATGCGATACTTCTGTGTATCACACTTAGAAATAACTAATTTTACACGTGGCGGAATCCATCTTTGACATAAAGGATCAGACGTATGCAAATATTTCATGTAAAATTTAGTGCTCCGAGACTGAAAAGTTCGTTACTCAACGTTACTCGTTACATACGTTATATTGAGTTGAATTTCGCGTCTGTTATGACTCAATTTTATGTCAAAATTGACGCTCGTATATGTCAGTCTCAGAGAACCTGAATTTATATGATTTTTTTCTAAGTGTGTAGCGTTATATATACGTTGTGTCCGTGGGCCTCGAATACAGCGTATAATTCGTGTAACTTAACATTGCATTGGTTTAACCCAGCCCAGTGGCAGGCGCGTAGGCAACATGTTATACCGTGACAGCGGGCCCAGCAAAGCAAAATAAACGATTTGAGCCCGTTAAATGCTGTCTACTGTCAAACGCTGCTGTTGGTATAGGCCTTGTCAGTGGCCTGGTTTAACCCTTTCATAGGGAGCTAAGTAGTATCGGAATGGTCTATAGCAGCGTTTCTCAATCTATGGGTCGCGACCCATTGGTGGGTCGCGGGATGTCCTTTGGTGGGTTGCAGAAATTCTGATAACTTAGTTAGAAGCATTTAATTTTTATAATACTTATTTAAATCTGTTAACGGAATCCTGCATTAAAAATTATTAACACAGACAAACAGACATAACCCTAGTAGCACGCTTGTCACAAATCAATTGTAGAAACTTATATACGACTTATTTCAGTCATAAGCAAGTTGCTGTAACTTATTGTGATGAAAGTGTGCTACTCGGGAACACTCGCAAGTTGTTCATCGAACAAGCATTTAACGGTAAATTTAAAAGTATCGTAGTTGGTAGTATCACCAACAATCAATACAAAACTAACGATTTAAAATTGGCTCACTACTTGACTAGCCTATTGGTCCCAAGCAAACGATTAGCGTCCCCCATTCTAGTCGAAATTCTAGTACTACACTATGTTTGTTTTGATTAGCTATGAAAGTTTGACAGATAAAATGAGGGGTTAGTGGATTTTCTTATGTTTCGGGGGGGTGAATCGATTAGCTTGGGACCGAAGAGAGTACCAGAACTGAGTCAAAAAGTTGAGCACGTTTCTTCGGGACCTTCTAGTCTTAGAGTTACCTCTATGGTATCACCACCTGTGGCGCGCATAGTCAATTCCCTTGCGTTTGACGTTTAATCACTACCGCCATCTGTTCAGCGTACTACCCACCACAGTATACTCAACAGATGGCGGTAATGTTTATGATCACGGTAACCCCTATGCCAGGTAAGTATAGCGGTAATGTTTAAGCGACGATGTTTTACAGTAAGAAATATTCAATGAGTTATGTCTGTTTGTCTGTGATATTAATGTCATTTTCAAGATAAACGAATTATTTGATATGGCGGCTTCAAGCAAATTGTTCGTGGATGACGTTTCTGCCACCGGAGTGACATTTACGATACCTCAGATGCAACAATTGCATTTTGGCATTTTGGGTTTCAGGAAATCATGCAGTTTTAAGGCTTTTTATGCTTATATGTTATAGCCTTTGGAGTTTTAAAGACAGTTTTGGCCTTATAGTATCTGTATTCAATATTGGAGGGTCGCGAGCTTATGAAATTGGTCAAGATGGGACTCCAGATCCAAGTCAACATTTGTTTTTGTTCATTCAAATAGCGTTACATAAATAGAACTCGTTGGTTATCAGGGTTGGGACCAGTTCCAACCCAGAGTGTAGCCGAACTTTTTGGCAGTGTGAACCTCAACCTGAAGTAGGGCTTAAAAACAAACGATCAAACTGACGTTTATAAAAAAAAAACAAACAGACCCAATATTGATACCCGATTTAGGTTGGCACTGAATAATAAACGAATTCGCTAAAAGATGAGTATTCATTATCGTCTGTCCTGTTGCCAGTAGCATCTTGGTGGGGATGATTTTGAGTACCAAATGCGAAATGCTTATTTTCATCCTACACAAATGTACCGTTGTGGAACGTGTTATGTTGCTTTTCTCACTCAGATCGATAGAAGATTATTGCCTTTTGCAGAATTGATGATAATATCGATGTTTTAGGCTTTTGGGATCGATAATATTCAAAATAATAATTTATGCCAAAATTAATTTGATTTTTTTTTGCTTTTGAGGATCGTTTCCGATTTTGCCAATTTTGGGTTGGAAACTCAAGCGTTGATGAATATCAACAAAAGCGTATTCGTCGATGGATAATGAACTCATTTGTTCATTTCACTCATATGTTGACAGCAAAAACAATTTTCTGGAATTAATTCCTAAAGTAATCTACAAAAAAACCTCGCAGCTATTATGGAGCACATTTAGCAATGATTTATGATTAACCAAAATATTTAGTTGTGAACTTTTTACATATTAATTGTTAATCTGTCTGCCATATTAATAATTTCTGTCTGCCTGTCTGACCCTTATAGACTCGAAAACTACTGAACTATCGGCGTAGAAATTTGTATGCAGAGGTTTTTGGGGCCGGGAAAGGTTCTTATGATGGTTTGAGACCCAGAGAAAAATATAGCATTCTTTTTTGAATCGGCGCATAAACTAATATTGGATTCCGAGCAAGGCCGGGCACACGCAGCTAGTGTTGTATAATTCATGCTAAATGCTAATGATTAACCATTCATGATTAATTGTTGATTATTTTTTACGGCCTGGTTCTGACATTTCGGGTTGCTTTCTTCGAATAAAAAATCAAAGATATCTTGTGAATAAATTCATAGAAATTATCTGGTTAATTCTGACATTGAAAGTTCGAAGATATTTCCATAATTTTCAAAATCGTTCAATAACGGTATAAACAAATATTATAAGGATTAAATAAAATTCCCACACAGGAAAAAATCCATTCCAGCATTCGTCAACATCATGTCACGATTTTCGGGATAAGAAAATTTTTCGTTTACGAAACACCATGTATAAAAATCATGAACTCGTGAACATTGTTCCGTAAAATAAACGGTACACCTGTGTTACGTTGCACCGGGCACCAACAAAAGAATAAAAGTCATAGAAACGTGAACTTTGTTCTGGAAATCATGACCTTATTCTGGTAAACGTGATAAAATTTCATGAGGTGTGCTTAATATCGTAAACCTGTTCTTGAAGACGGGAACATGGTTCTCGTGTAAATCGTCAACATTAAATTATTTTCAATGTTTTGATTCGATTGTTCAGCATGGAAGTGGAAGGAAACTGCAAACGATGGAAGACTAGGTTGGAACAACGGAA